ATTTCCAAGGCCTCTCTTGTAATTTTCCAGCTGTGGTTGCCCATGAGATGAATGGTGCTCCTACTGGCAGTGGGTAAGACTGTGGCCTGGCTCTCCTTTCACAAGCTGGTCCCTGTTGCCTGGCACAGCTCAACAAATCACAACTTATCATTATTTCTACTATTATTGTTGTCATTGTTGTTACTCCAAGACTCTATATCTCCCAGGAGGAGGAGCTGACCCCACCTATCCTTAAAGGCATTAGGACTAGATGGTTGGAAATGGCCAGATTGGACACATCTCTCATCTCTCTTTTGACCAGTGGCTGGAAGACAGTGAGCTGGGATATCTGTTGTCCTTTATTATGAAATGGGAGACAACCCACTATCCCTAGCCACTGTGGCCATCAAAGATATGTGTTGGTACCTGTCATGGAGCCTGATTCTGGGGCTCACAACACACACAGACCCATAGTGTGGGACTCTTGCTCCAGGGGATCAGGAAAGGCTGGAGACCCCAAGGAATGAGACAGAGCATCAACCAAGGGTGGGGGTCCTGTCTTTGACAGAGATCTCTATAAGACTATCAGGTGGGAAAATGACCTGGGCTGGGAAATAGGTATAAATCCTGGGTTCCAGCTGTGTGCTGGGAGCCAGCCCTGCACCCAGGTCTTCTCCCGCCCCCGCTCTGTTCTTAAGTCTTTAGCATCCTGCTTCCCAACTGTGTGACACTGGGCCAGAACTACTCACTCTCTGAGCTTTGTCTGTATGAGGGGCTAATGGTTATTTCTGGAAGGAAATGAGGAAATAGGAAGGAGTACTACAGGCACTGTGCATTGGAGCTGGCGATCAAAGGCCTAGAGACCACCATGGGACAGTGGCCCTTAGGGTGCCAAGTCCAGAGCAGGGGCTAAGGACCAGCTTATACAAGGGCACTTTGGTCTCTTTTAGACTAAAGATAGAACCTTGTCTAGCACAAAACTTAAAGAGAAGGTGAGCATGGAGGAGCCAGGGCTGAGAGGCCCTGAGGGGTCAGGAAGAGTAGCCAATTGAGGGACATCCAGGGGAAGGTCCCCACGAAAGTAGCCAGAGGCCAGGGCCACTGTGTATTCTCCTTGCCTTCCCTGCTAGTGGCTTTGGCTCATGAGGCAGCACTTCATTGGCCCTGGCCTCTGGCAGAGCATGTCCCCAGCAGGAAGGAGTGTCAGGCCTCAGCTGTGCTAGTCCCTCCAGCTTCTCCAGGCCTTCATCCAAGCTCTTGTGGCTGGCTGATCTGCATCTTCTTCTGTGACCAGCCAGATGGGCAGAGGTGGGCCTGGGTGCCCATCAGGCAGACCTACACCCACCACCTTGCCCACCCCAGGCTCAAAGGTGCAAGGGCCCTAAGAAGACTTCATCCAAGTCCCCCTCCTAGGATACCTTTAAAGAGACAACCTTTACCCCTAGCTTTGGACATGGAGGGCTACAGAGTCTGGGCAACAGTTATATTTGATGTGACTAGAGTAGCCAGTCCCCCAGTTGGGGCTGAGGAGCCTGTTCAGTTGGACCACAAGCTGAACCCAGAAAAGAAGTCAGTGTGGTGTCAATGGGAGTGACCAAGAGTGTGACATATTATGGATACCACCAGAAAAGAGAGCAAACGTTTATGGAGAAAGCCATGGGTAGAGTGTTTCTTAACTGTATTCTGTTAGTTTAACTGCCAGATCACCTGTTCTATATCTATTACCACTGTCATATCCACAGAAAGAGCCACATTTGGGGGCTGCCACATCCTTGCCATAACCCATGCCTTGGTAAAAGGTGGAATGTGAAGGTAGCTGGTAGCTCACACAGGCTGATTCTCAGTCTCTACTCCCTTTGCCTCCTCCAGGCAGCCCTCCCTGACTGGAACTCTCAGAGCAACTCTGGTAGAAAATTCAGTTGGGCTGATGGGGACAGGAGAGGGGAGTGCAAAGCTGTAGGTGTGCTTTCTGCCAGGACCTCAAACCCTGGGGACTAGCCAGGATTCCATCTAGGGTGGGCAAGGGTATGAGAGGGCTTGCTGGGGATAAGGCAAGGTCAGACTTGAACCTTGACAGCCATCTTCAGCTTCATCAGAACTGTCCAGTATTGGGGAACAAGGTTCAGAAGGGTCTAGTGCCCTGGGGAGGAGCAGGGCTGGTGGAGGCAGCTGGTGTAACCTGCAGACTGTCCATTCCTGCTCTGTGCCTGGCCAAACCTCTGGTTGGGAAGTCTGGGCTGGAGACCATGCAGTGAGATATACAGGGGTCTCAGCAAACTATTGCCCAGAGTCACAGAGCCTGGGTTCCCTCTCCCCTTGGTTGGGCTCTCCAAAAGGCAAGAGAGAGTCTAAGATCTCTGCCAACCACAGGCTGAATCTTAGCCTCTATTCTCTAAGTATGGAACTGGCCTGTTTGTTTCTTACCACCTCTTGGAGAATGTTAGATGCTGTCACCTTTCAAGACACTGTGAAGATCAGAATGCAGGGTGAAATTCAGAATGCGGGGTGCTCTGAGCTAATGAATGCTCAGAATCAGTAGTGACTTCAGCAATCACATGCTAGCCCCTCTCTTGCCCCTCGATGCTTCTGCACGCCCAGAAACTCATACTGTGGGGGACACCAGAGAGTCCCCTGTGTGTTTCTCATTGTGCTTTCAAGTTAAATGAAGTGTTGGGCTACCTGGGAATTTGTCTTCAATATGAGAATATGGCTGAGTCTGTGGTCCACTGATTGGAGCTCACTCAGCTTGTCAAGGAAGGCTGTGGTATCCCCTGGGTGAGACCAAAGATGGGCCCACCAGCCTCAGAGAAAACACTGCCTCTCCCCGATCCCCTGCTTGTAGATTCAGGTTCACTAGGAGCCTCAGAACACTCCAGGCCTCCTTTCTTCCACTGATGTCCCAGTACTACCACATGCATGGATCTGATCAGGCTCCCAGAGGTCACCTTTCCAGCTGAACCTGAGGGAGAAGGGGGCCCTGCAAATCTGGGAGTGGGATTTGAGAAGCAAGACTTTCTGCTCTGCCCAGGCCATGGGCTGGGAAAAATGACACTTACCAGACAGCTCTCGGCACCACCTACTCCTCTGCTTCTCCCTCAGACACATTCCTATATGAAGCTAGAGCAAGTCATGGGCTTTTCTCAGCGATTGCAGAGACCATCTCCATTTCTTGTCCCTTCCCTGTATGCTTGCTGCACTTCTTCTAGCTCCCTCAGTAGTGTGTGTGTGTGTGTGTGTGTGTGTGTGTGTGTGTGTGTGTGTCCAGTATCTCTGGGGGAACTTGATACTCAACCTGATCTGCTCTTGTGGGGTCAGAGCACACAAAGGGGATAGGGGGGCTTCCAAGAATCTCTGGGGTATGTGTGACAAGAGCAGATCAGGCCCCGGTGGGAATGGCATCCTGGTTTTAGTCTTCTCCGTCTTACCTAAGAGTCTCCATGCTCTTCCCTACCTTTCTCCCCTCCCTGCACCTGATGCTCACACACTTCTTGTTCATATCTTGTCACTTCTGGCCTTTCAAGAATATGCTCTCGGGGCTGGGGATGTGGCTCAAGCGGTAACACCCTCGCCTGGCATGCACGAGGCGCTGGGTTCGATCCTCAGCACCACATAAAAAATAAAATAAAGATGTTGTGTCCACCGAAAACAGAAAAATAAATATTAAAAAAATCTCTCTTTCTCTCTCTCTTAAAAAAAAAAAGAATATGCTCTCGGTGGCCAAAGATGCCCCTATCTGTAGTTGTCCCCCTGTCCTGAACCCTCGGAGGCCAGAGTGGATGAGCATACTAGACCTGCATCTCCTGGGGCTTTACCAGATATCCTTAACCAAGTTCCCTGAAACACTGAGACCTGCTGTTTTCACAGGATAGGGCAGAGTATCTCTCCCCAGTCTCTGAACACCCCCAAGTACATCCTGACCCTTCCTTTTTAATATACCTATAAATATAAAGATATAGACATATGGTAGCATATGCACATTACCCACACACACCCCCTTTATCCTCCATCTAGAATGAAACTCGGTGTGGCTTGGCTCTCTGATGGGCCATGGTGCCAGGCTCACAACAGGGGCTCAGTCACGCCTCTGGAAGAAATCCATACATAGCAAGGTCAGAACGCTATTGGAATTTCTGGGCTCTCCCCCCACGTGAACTTTCCTTTACATTCTGAAGATGTCCTCTGTCTGTTGGTACCAGGCAATGGGATTACTTTATTCAGTTTGACTGAAAGGTGGCACTTCACTATATTAAACAAGGAGAGGGCCTTCCAAATCCACCCTTATGCCACCCGCTGCAAAACCCTGCACTTCATAAGGAGAGGTTTGACTCAGGAAAGTGTTTATGTTGGGTGGGGAAAAATTTCTCTGAGGATCTTAATAAATAGTCAATTTTGGGAGCACTGATGGCAAGCAACTCCATTTCACCTGTCTGACCAGCTGAGGACAGTGAAGAGAGTCCTGGTTACCTCCCTAGGCTTGTGGCCACAAGGGGAACACACTCATCAGAACTTTTCACTCCAATACTTTCAGTCCCACATTCTTTGGAAGATCTGGGAATGTGGGTTTTCCTTTAGGACTGGGAGAAAGAGCTAGAAAAAAAATGGTGGATGGAAGGGAAAAAGATGACTGTGAGGGCACAAGAGATAAGGAAGTGCCCTTTGTCACTACAGAGATGGAGGTCCTGTGTCCATCACCAAGCCAGGATTCCTGTAGGTTCTAAGGTGCCATTCCCCCCCCACCAGCAGGTCCCCTTCCTCCCCTGGTCCCATAAGATCCTGTCCATATAGCCTCTCCACCCCAGGGAGTGGCATTGTGACCCCATTCCACAGTTGAGACACAAGGCCCCAGAACAGCCTTGACTTAGGGCCAGAGCATTTCCTTGGATACATCAGGGAAAACCAACTGGACTGCCACCTCATAGCTGGGATCCAAGTGACTATCCCCAGACCTCCCACAGCCCCTCACCCATCCTGTCCCCTTCTGGGGTTTCACAGCCCAAATGTCACAGGCTTCACGCTCTTCATGTAAACATCTTAATTACATCTTTAATGCTCTCACACATAGAGATGCTGTGAGTTAAATTACAGCTTTGTGCATCCTAAATTACCCGCAGCCTTCCAGTCGTTCAAGTGCTAATGTATTTATAGCATCTAAAAGAGGGAATAAATCCAGAACCTTCCCCATGGGGGCCTCCTAGGCCCTCACTTCCTGACATGTGGCATTCGTCCAATGGAAGATCCATATGTGCCACCCCTGTGTCTCCTCCAACCAGCAGAGGACAGTGATGATGGTGAGGCTGGACATAGGGACATGCCTCTGTGCGTGCTCATGTGTGTATGGGTGCCCAGTGTAGAAAAACTGCCCAGCCCCTGGGGTTTTTCTCTTGCCCAGATGTCTCTGGCATCATCCTGGACTTTCAAAGTTAAGGGGGAGGACAAGTGCAAAGACCCTCTTTTCTACTCCATGAATACCAAGGGGCCCTTCCCATGGATGGGAGTAGGAGAGAAAATTAAAGAATGGACTAGGTTTCTTATGAGGAGTCTGGGAGATCCCATGGGCCCTCTGTAATGTGCATGGACCCTGGGTATGAGCAGCCCTTCTCCTGGCATCTTGCTTACTAGGCAGTTTCAGCTCTATATCTGGGTCTCTCAGGGCCTATAACAGGTGCTGCTCTATGCTGTCCCATGTGAGTAGTTGCCTTCCTTCACCCTAGAGGAATCCCACAAGGCATTCCTTTTCAGGCAGTTAGAACTGTTTCCACTAGCCTATAGCCTATCCCCACTGCCCTCAAACCAAGAGCCTCTCCCTGAATACCATCCCTGATAAAGACAGGGAGCCATTTCCAGAAGCAGGTAAGCACGGCTTTTAGAGCCCATTGAAGAAGTGCAGTAGAGAGTGGAAATCAGCTTTGCTTCCATCTTCCCCTGAGTCCCCAATTACTGAAGGCCAGAGTAGGTGGCCTACCCCAGTGCTCCGCTACGTACCATAGGGGGAGGTTGACTTACAGGGTAGAGCCAACAAAGAGGGTCTCTATTGTGCCCCGCACACATCTGCATGTAGGTCCACTTATGCACATGCATGAAGACTTTCAGCAGGTCTGGGGTCAGCATCCCTCCACATCCATACCCCCAGTTACTTCTCTCTCAGCCTCCTCCATTACTTGGGCCCCAAAGCAGGTGGCTACCCAGGGATAGACCTCACAGACCCTCTGTAATATGGATGGAGGCTGGGCATGAACAGCCCTTCTCCTGGCATCTTGTCCCCTGGGCAGATTCAACTTCATCTGTGGGCCTTTCAGGGACTAAAACAGGTACTGCCCCACCTTGTCCCAGTGAAGTTGGTGGTTGCTTCTTTTCACTCCAGAAGAGGCTCCAAATTTTAAAATACAGATTTCTTCCCAACAGAGAGGAACCACCTCTCCTTTCCCTCTTCCTCTCCCAGAGTATCTCCCCCAATTTCCTCCATATTAGAGAAGCAGACCTTGATGAGAGGGGTGTGACCAGCAGACAATTAAGCCAGCAATGGCTCTTGACCTTCCTGGCATAAAGGATACCCTCTGTGCCAGGTCCGTCAAGTCAGGAGAGATCAGTGGCCAGATGGCTAGGCTGGCCAGGGCCTCTCTTCAAGGCTGGAGAGTCAGCAGGTGGGTCTACAGAATAGCTGGGGCATGGCCCAGCCCCTTCCTGTCTTGTCAGGGCAGGTCCTGAGAATAGGTCTTGACAATCAGGGAGTGGGCAGCTCTGTGGGCACTGTGGCAGGTGTCTCTTTCAGAGGTCCAGGCCTGTCGTGGCCACTCACGCATGGATGGCATTGGCTACGTCGGTAAACACCAGTCGGCTAGGCCTCTGCAGTGGGCCCTGGGAGGGGAGAGCACTCTGCAGAAAGACAGGCAGGGGTATCAGAGACCTTGACCAAGGCCATGTACTATCTGGCCCAGTCACTGCCACCCTCACTTCCTAGTGCTCTGCCTCCTGCCTGGAATGTCCTCCCCTGCAAATTCAGCCTAGAAATTCGACCTGGCTCAGATGACTGCCTCCTCCCCACCCCCCCATAGCCATCCCAGCTTTCCTTTCAGCTTGGCAGCACTTACAGTGGACTCCTGTGCAGGATGAATTATGCATGCATCACCTTCTCCCAGCAGGGGATATCTCACCTCTGCCCCACCCCTTCTCACTCCCAGAACAGGGTCAGGTACAAGGAAGGTGCACAAGAAACAACTGTCAAATGGTCAGTGGTCTCCAGGGCTGGGTAGACCACGATTCTATGTGATTTTTTTGTTTTGTTTTGTAGTACCAGTGATTGAACCCAGGAATGCTCTATCACTGAGCTACATCCCTAACCTTTTTTAAAATTTTGAGCCAGGGTCTCACCTGACTCAGGTGACAGAACTGGAAGTAAAACCAAGTGGTCTCCAGACTCAGCCTGGACTCTTCCTTAAATCCAGGAAGATGCAAAGAGGACAGATGGATTAGGGATGGGCCCAGCCCCTTTATGGTGCTCTGGCCCTTGGAGATTTTGAGGAATCGTAGCAAGTGGTAAGGCATCCCAGTGGCTCTAATAGGATGACCACAGTTATCCATCCCTTTGGATATTGAAGATGAGTTTGGCTGGAATCTCTATTGACCTGTGATCTGTCAGTGACTAGAAATCCAACAGCCTGTTTGAAACTGGCACTGCCTAAGAGTCTGACTCCATCTATAATCTGCTCAGGACCATGCATCCTCAGGAAGCAGAGGAAGTAAAGTTCCCAGTCCTCAATAATCCCTGCCATTAGTCCTTTCCCACTTTTCCAGCTAGTATGTGGAGATGCATAGGACAAGAATTAGAATTTTTCATTTGCAGATGAGGAAAGTAGGCTCAGAGATGCCACTGGGGTTTCCAAGATCCAAGGGCTGTCCCTGTCTTGGCCTTGTGCAGTAAGTTTGTGAATGGCATGGAAAAATTCTATCAGTTTCTGAATAAACCTAGCAAGACCTGTATATCAAATAGCTGCTGCCTGATATCTAGCAGGTGCTGGCAAGCAGCATGTAAAGGATGGAGGGTGGGGTAGAGGAGGCATGGACAGCTGCAGGCTGGGTGTCAGTGCCCACCTTGCCCTGCATGGCCTGCAGGGAGGCGGCGGCCTGCACGGAGGCCGCGTCCCGTCCATGTTCCAACAGCTCCTGCTCCAGTTCATCTTGCTCCTCCGTGGGGTCGAAGTTGTACATGGGCATGAGTTGGTGGCGCAGCTTCTCCAGCCTGGGGGTGGGGGCAGAGGTGCTGGGGGCTGGGCAGGCCCTTGCCCTCCTGCCAGCCCTTTAGGCTCTGCCTCTTGGCCAGCTGAGCCACAGCACACAACCATGTTTAGGGGCCCAAGATTTCCCTTGTAGGCCAGGGAAGCAGGGCAAGAGTAGCCAGGCAGTTGGGTAGAGATAATCCCTTCTTTCTTCCTCTTGTCTCCCACCCTCTATTCCAGGGTTATATATGAATATAGAATCTTTATTTTCCTGCCCTGTACATGAGATCTTGATGGAGACCCTCAACCCTCCCTGAGAAGAGGGCCTGACTCTCTAATCAGGGAGAGGGGCCCTCGTGGTGGGGTATTCTTTCTCTTTTCCCACCCATGCCCCCTGGAGCTCAGCCCAGCATTGCCCATAGGCTGGAACTTTAGGTGGCAGTTGGGGAATTACCTCTTCTTCTTCCTGATGTACAAAACCTGTAAGGGAAGGGGCAGTGTCAGATGGTGAGGAAAGTAAGCCCTGACTGACCCAGAAGGCCCTCGGGATGGGGGGACATGTGGAAGCTAAAGGGTGGTGTGGATCCCCATGTCCTCAATGTCCCCATCCCAGTGACATGGACACCCTACATTCATGCCTCTTTTTTAAAAAATTTTTTTGGTACCAGGGATTGAACTCAGGGACACTCAACCACTGAGCCACATCCCCAGCCCTATTTTTTTTTTTTTTTTAGAGACAGGGTATTTTATTTAGAGACAGGGTCTCATTGAGTTGTTCAGCATCTCGCCATTGCTGAGTCTGGCTTTGAACTTGCAATCCTCCTGCCTCAGCCTCCTGAGATGCTGGGATTACAGGAGTGTGCCATGGTGTCTGGATCGTGCCTCCCTTTAATGTTTTTTTGATGCTGACAGGTGGAGACTAGGCCTGCCCTTAGAAACCCAGCCTGGGAAAACTATAGTCACACTGGTGGTGGGGTCCAGGTCTATCATTATTGACTGCAGCCCCAGCCATTCAGTGTCTGCTTATGACACCTCAGGGACAAGGAGGGAGGGGAAGACTCCAACACATTCCCCATACTGGATCCAGAACCACATATAGGCAAAAAGAACAGTGGATAGGCAATGGCCAGAGTGTAGAAAAGTGTGGTCCTAGGTAAGGTTCTGGACTGGGTTCCATGGGAGACTCATGTCTCTCAGTGGACAGGGGTCAGAGAAGAGGGCTGAGCTCTAGATGTCAGCCCAGGCTAACCCTTCAGAACTCTGTCACTGAAGGAACATAAGAAAGTTCCGGGTTCTGTCCCCTATGTGCAGACATGAAGGCAAAGTGTTAGGTAGTCAGAAAACATATAGAACATCCCATGCTGGAGCAGGAAACCCTGTACCAAGCACTGAAGAGAGAGACAAAGGGGTGAGACTTGGGAAACCACCCTGGGCAGGGACTCTGGGGACCCCTGCCACCTGCTCTTCCACAAACTGGCAGTTTCACGACTGCTTCTACCTTTAGGAAAGCCACATCCCTAGAGTCTGTCCCAAATCTTCTGTGGCTCCTATGTTCTTTGTAGCCCATTCACAGATTGAATCTGGTTTGTTTCCCAAACTGACCCAAAGCTCCTCCTTAAGGACTCCAAAGACTTAGAAAGAAACTAGAGTGTCCCTTGCTCCCCAATCCCTTCCATAGGTTCATACCGGGTGGGGTGCCCCTTGTTCTCCTATGGGAAGATACAATAGGAGCTTTGAGGCCCACCCTGAGGAAGTGGCTCCAGCTGCAGAACTCGCTGCCCCCTTGCCTCAAGGTCCTTGCTCTAATATTTCTCCCTTACCTGTGACCTTTGATTTAGAAGGATCCACAGGATTGGCCAGCTTCCATTCAATCTCCACATCTTTACCCTGTTGGTCTCTTTGCCCACAACTGGTGACATCCACTGCCTTCCCACCTCCACTTCCAAATGTTCCCACCTCTCACTGTCCAGCTGCTTCCTTTGGGAAGTGTTTCTGAAAGTGTTGCCCACACCAAGCACTTTTCACACTCTTGTGTGAAGCACAAGCCTGACACTGACTTGCTCCTTGTTGTACCCATGGCCCAGTTCAGTGCTGGCATGAGGGGAAAGCAAGCAGCACTCAGGGAAACTTCTAGCCCTCTTGTGCCCTGTGTCCATGAGCTGTTTTCTGCCTTCCACAGCTTTTGTCCCACAAGCTTCCTACCTCCCCACCTTTGGCAGGAAGACCATCCACCCTAGGCCTCAGACCAGCAAGTTCCTAGAACAAAATATTTGCCAAGAGTAATAAGGGCAGATTCTAGGCCATTTTGCCCCTGAGGTTAGGGTGCTTAGATCTTCAAAACCATCCTGTGGGTGCCAAGGGGAAACACTGGCATTCTGCCTCACTCTCACCCCAGGAGACCTCTCAGCTCTGGCCTTGCTATTCATGAGCTGCATCCTGGCCATGCTTATTGGCCAGCGTTGTTCCCTGGCAGCAGTCTGGAGCCTGCAGGGCCCATATGGTGACCCTGGTTTAACAGCAGCTCCTGCCAGGCCATGGACGGACCATCCTACCCTTGTTTGTTAGAGCAACAAGCTCCTGAACCTAAGGCCAGCCATCATAGCCTGGAAGGAGCAATGGGCAGAGTACCACCATTGCCAGGCCCTTTGGGGGGCCTCTGGTGATCTCCATTTCCCTGGATTTGCCTTGAATAATTGCCAGTGTTCCCTTAGTGACATTCTGAGGGTCTGTGTATCATTTTTGGGGGTCATTTATAGCCCTCTTGCAGATTACCCCCATTCTGATAAACTACTCAACTCTGTCCCTTCTCATGACATAAGCCAGGTTCCTACCTTGAGTCTCAGCTCTAATGTTGCTTCCCAAGATGTACCTGACCACCCAGCTTAGGTGAAAACCCTTGGGTTTACTTGTTTGGTTTTTGACTGGGGATTGAACCCAAGAGTGTTTTACCACTAAATAGTCCCAGCCATTTTTATTTTTATTTTGAGACAGAGTCTTGCTAAGTTGCTGAGGATCTTGTTAAGTTGCTGGGATTGGTCTTGAACTTATATTCTTCCAGACTCAGCTTTCAAAGTTGCGGGAATTACCGACATGCACTACCATGCCCAGCTAAAACTCTTGGTTTTAAATTAATTTCTCATAAGAACCACAGGGCAGAATCTTGTCTCCCCAGACTCTGTTAGGTCCCAAAGGTCTGATCCAGGGCAATTATCCAGTAAATAATTGCCAAGTGAATGAATGAATAAACATACTACCAATAATGTGACAAGCCCAGAGCATTCCCCCCAACTTTACACCCACAATCCCAGGCACCTTCTTGTCTCTACCCCTGCTGAAACCCATATAACAATTTGCCCCATTGCCCAGCTTACTGCTCACAGAACCTCCTTGCCTCCAAATTCTGACTCTTAGGACCCTCCATATGGAACTTCTCCCTCCCCCAATCCTGTGTGGCCTTCATGGAGTATCTCAAAATACGTATTTTCCAGAGTGTTTTCTGGGTCTTCCAACCCGAAGAATTATCTCTCGGTCTCTAGCCCCAGTGGACAAATCTTATGGGGAGGGGGAAATAAGGATTGCATTATCATTAATGGAATTTAAAAAAAAATTTTAGTTTAGTCAATGGACCATTATTTTATTTATTTATATGTGGTACTGAGAATTGAACCCAGTGCCTCACACATGCTAGGCAAGTGCTCTACCACTGAGCCACAACCCCAGCCCCACATTAATGGAAAATTGACTTCTGATTAGATTTTCTATTCTAAATACTGACTGCCTTCCCCCAATGGAGGGCCTTCTGGGCCAGCCCCAGCCTGCCCCAGCTCTCACCATGGCCACAGTCAAGCCAATCACCGTGATGATCCCAAAGGACAGAAGCATGGTACCCACGCCAGCCGTGCCATCAGCCACATCAGGGATTCTGGTGTCATTGAAGCTTGTGGCTTCTGGGCTGAGGGTGGTGGTCTCAGAAGTGGGCCCATCAGTGGCAGGCTCTAGGTCAGGTTCAGTGGTAGGTAGGTGGCTATTGAGCCAGCCCCGAGCAGACAGGATCCTGGAGTTCATGCTGATGTTGAGAGACTGCCTGTGGTCAGTCAACCTGCCCATTCACTTCTGACATCAGTAGTACCCCAGCCTATGGCTCCCAACACCCGTGGTGGCCACCTGAATAGCCACCTCCTTGATAAAGGAAGCCCCCTTCTTCGGTGGGTGCTGGAAAGGAAGAATAAACACATGAGGCTAAGGACAGGGGTGGGGCAGTGAGATGAAGTGCCTCTAGGTTCTGAAGACACTGGGAAAATAAAGATTTGAGGGCGGTTCAGGGACACAAAGACACATGCTTTATATACCTATGGTTCCCATGTAGATTTAGAAACATGAAAATGAAGTCTGTGGGTACAATGATCATAGCAATCATGCCTGGGAGATAGGAAAGATATCAGGAAGATTTGAAAGAAAAGGTCCCTCCCCTATGCAATAACACTCCTCATTTCTCCCACCTCCACCTCTTCACTCCCTACCCTCATATCTCTCTGTAGCTTTTTTCTTCCCTGGAGGAAAAAACTTACCTAGGAGTCATATAGGCCTGTCCTTGAATCCTGTCTAGGCTCAGCCATTTAGTGGATAATCCCAGACAAGTCACTCTACCTCTGTGCCTCAGTTTTCCTAAGCCTAATATCCCCACAGTATTGCAGGGTTACTGAAATGCCAGAATGAACAAGTCCCTAGAAAAGACTTAGTTCAGCACAAGCCATGTTTACAGTGAGCACCCAGTAGAGATTCCACCTTTTCTTTTGTTCTAACCCAGTCAGGAGGCAGGGAGGCACAGAAGCTACTGGATTCAGAGAGCGGTGTGGTCTAGGCTGTGTGCCTGAAGTGGGGGTGGGGGCAAATGTGGGGAGACCAGGAGACAGGAAATAGAGGCATGGTTTTTCTGCAGGCTTTAGGGTCCTTGGATGCCCCCCCTTTCCTCATAGGGGAACTGGGTGCTGGTGGGAACAAAGGAGGAAGGCAAGGGGAGATTATCTTCAGAAGTAGGGATGGAGCTCCCACTTTGAAGCATCTCCCTTGTGCCTTCCCTCCTCCTCTGGGAGCAGAGATTTTCCCAGCCCAGAAAGACAGTGTGGGAAGGGGTCCCAGCCATTCTGCAGACCTAGAGGAGGGATTCCTAGCTCATGACTGCATCCCTGTTGTACTTATGGGTACATTTGTGTGTGTGCGTGCATGTGTGTGAGTGTGTGTACCCACATCCATGCTGCACCCTTAGGAAAGGACAAGGCTGGCAGAGGGACATGAGTGGGGTAGACTCATCTCTCTCTGCCCTCTCTCTCCAGTTATGCTAGGTAAGGAGTCTATTCTTAGCTCTGTCACTGACCCTAGGCATGACCTTGGGCTAGACCCTTAACTTGCTCTGGGGCTCTCCTCCCATCCAGAGGAGAGAAGATGCCCTGCTGACCACTTTCTGGGCCTGCCTTGGGGTCCAAAGGGGAAGGAGAAAAAACGGAGTGAAAGGGGTCTGCGCCTGACCTCTGAGAACCCTCATGCCATTCTCCTCTAGGTCCCTCAGTCCTCCCTGCCTCAATTCCCATGCCCGCCTCCGCAACCCAGTGATTTTTCCATTCTTGCACAGAATGAGAGACCTCAGCACTTACTTAATCCTCTCCGGGGCGCCGAGCTCAGTCAGAGAGGATAGGGGTGGTGGCAGCGGGCGGGAGACCGGGCGAGGGGAACATCTAGGCCCTGCGTGGGGGCGACAGTTCGACCCCAGGTCGGCGCTCCCTGCACGCTCAGAGCTGCTGGCCGGGCCGGCTACCTTGCATGGTGGGCAGCTGCAAGCACCAGCTCTGTCAGTCTAGGCTGGGGTGGGCAGGGCCGGGACCCAGGGCGGGGGTGGGGCCAGGCCAAGCAGCCTCAGGGGATCAGCGAAGCTTCAGTGCCTAGCCTTCCGGCCCTCTCCGCGCCCCCGGACTCTGATTGGCTGCCAGGCCTAGAGCCCGTCCAGCATTGGCCTGCTCGCCTGTCTCTCGGATATGACTCCTCCCTAAAGCGGGAGCCGGGAGCCCGGAGCCAGGTAGCTAGCAATTCTCTGAGACCACCCCTCACTCTGGTGGCCTACGCCGACATCCGGCAGGGGACCAAGGGTGACCAGGCCTTTCCTGGGCCACAACTCGGGCTCCTGAGGGCAGCTCCAACTTCACCGGGACACACTCGGGCCCCAAAACGCAGACGTACGGAGGAGGCTTAGAGAGAGCACTGGAGTTGGAGTTCTTTGGGCTTGAGTTAACTCTAACAGGACCCTTTGCCGTGTGACCTTGAGCAAGCTGCTTCCCCTCCTTGTGTCTCGGCTTCCTATTAACTTGCTCTGGGGGCTCTAGAGTGAGGACTCTGGTTAAATGACTCCAACCACCGGCGGGTGGAATTTTTATCTGGGTGGTATTTATTGGGTACCCCAACGCAGGCAAGTCTACCTATATCTCACAATACCTGAAATCCACAGCACGATCACTGCAAGAAGCCCTTAGATATCCTCTAATGCAATGGCTTTCAAAGGAGTTTATGGAGGGGCTGGGGCTGTGGTTCAGTGGTAGAGCGCTTGCCTAGCATGTGTGAGGCACTGGGTTCGATCCTCAGCACCACATATAAATAAATAAATAAAGATCCATCAACCACTAAAAAAAAATGTTTGTTTATTTGTTTTTTAAAAAAGGAGTTTATGGGGATCACGGGGTAGCTAGGTATAAATGCAGGTGCCTGTGGCTCCTCGGGGAGCCACGCGTTTAATAGTAGAGTGTTAATAGAGATCTAATTAGTATATTCTGGTAGGAGGTGTATTTCGTGAGACACTGCCATGAATTTTATAGAAAGAGAAACTGAGATCCAGAGAGGTCTAGGCGTCTGCACCAAGCTTCGTGAGTTGCTAATAGAATTAGAATTCGAACCCAGTTCTCTGGAGTTCTGCTTTTTCAGCTCCCTGCTCCAAATCCTACTAGCGAGAGAGAGAAGGTCAGGAGTGGCCCTGGGGTCCGGTCACTACTGAATCTCGCCCCGGGTCATCACCCTCAGCCAGGTACGGAATACTGGGATCCGTTGGGAATACTGGAACCCACTATTCCACACTGAATACACAGTGAACCACACCTTGTCTCCGCCCACAGAGTATGTGAAACCACGCCCCTTGACATCGGGCCCGCGCCGGAACCTAAGTTAGTTGGTGACATGACCCGCTCCCGCCTGCTCCTCGCCAGCCAGGTCCGTAAACGCCTGCTCCAGTCTCTCACGGTAGGCTGGATCCACATAATTGCCGTGACCTTAAGGAACACCTGCCAGTCTGGGCCGCTAGGGTGCACCCCACATACGTCTCCGGACTTTCCCGCCCATGGAGCCTTGGGCGTGGAGTTCATAGTATCCGGAGGAACTCGGAGACGTTAGGAACGCTGAAGCTGAGTGACAAAGTCTGCCCGAGCCTTTTTTTGCCTGCGCCGACCCGGAAACTGGGTATCCGAAGGAACACGCTGAAGGCTACGCACGTCCGGAAACCGATACCGAGTGGTTTTCCCCAGGCCGGTGGGTGGGTAGGCGAGCAGCCCCGAGTGGGTGGAACAGCCCCTCTGGCAGGTGTGCACTATAGGTGGGGACCATGGTGTGTGCGCCTGGATTGCAACACCCTGGAGACCTGACCAGTCCCACCCGACTTAGTGCAGATGGAGAAGCAGACTTGTAGAGAGGCAGCCTTTTCGGGGTCATTATTAATAATGCCCATGCGGAGCTGGGCAGCAGGCTGTGCCCCATACTTAAATCTTTGGTTACTCCAGGGGCAGCGCATAGGTGGAGAGTTGCCTCTAGTGCGGCAGACCCAGATTCCTGTCCTGCTCAGGACACAGTTCCTAGCTGGGTGACGTTGGGAAGGTTGCTTTTGCTTCCCTTCCTGGAGCCTGCTTGTCTTTGAGGATGTAGCAATTAGAAGGTGCTCGGTAAAAGCAAGTTTGGACCTTATTCTGTCTGAAAGTAAAGGGACCGCTGATTTAAGCCCTCAGCTAAACTTGTTTGTGAACATTTAAATATAAAATTTTCAATTTTTTTACCTAGCTATTTATGCTAACATCTGGGATTATGGGTTAAATTAGAGGGAAACTTTCGGTTCAATGACAGGAAGTACCAAATGTCACAAGCAAATCTCCTAAACCAGGCAGGCAGTCTCCCACTTATAACATTAGTTAAAGCTTGTAACATGGAGCCCTTGCTGTGTGATAAGCTGGTGCAGGTTCTTGACATTCATGGACGAGTGCACTTCTCACTGTGGGGTTATTTCTCCCACTTTATGGATGAGGAAACTGAAAATCAGAAATAATGACTTGCCCAAGGTCACACATGCTAGGAGAAGACACAGATCTGTCCTACCTCCAAACCCATTTTGTGACCCACCACTAGCCTATTTATTAGCAGGGACAGCTACTGGTTCAGCTCACTTCACCTGAAAATGTGAAGAGAACAACTGTCTAAGACAAGAAGAGTCTAATAGGTAGGTAAGAGTCAAAATGGAGTTAACGCAGAGTAAGAGCATGCCCTTTTTCAGGCAACTTTTGATTCTCCTGTCTTTTCCCCCTAAGGTGGTACCCACATCTGAGGACCAGAACCATTTTGGGGAGCCAAAGCCAGTGACTTCTCTACTTCCCTCTCCTAGCACCTACCTCACCTGACATTTTAAGGAAGACTTGGAAACTGGGAGCACTCCAGGCAGCTTTTCCCCAAGCCATGAAGCTTTGGGCCCGAATGCTATGGGCCCTCCTTTCTGGCCCTGGGGGAAGGAGGGGAGGCATCCCATGCTTGGCCTTCAGCTCCTGGCAGTCCCACCCACCTCTGGCTGGGCTGTTGAGTCCCATAGGGTTGGTCAGCCACTGGACAAGGGTGTTTGAGAAGAGAGGCATTCCAGAAGCCAGAGAATCCAGTGAATACATCGTGGCCCATGTCCTCGGAGCCAAAACAGTTAAGTACAGTATTGTCAGGAGGGCAGGAAGAGGGATGAAGAGGAGCTCTATGAAAGAGACATTGGGCTTTTTTCTTTACCATGAGCATTTAACTAAAGCTGATGGGATTTTTCTTTTCAATTTTCTTTCATTGTAGATGAATACAGTATCTATATTTTATTTATTTATTCATTCATTTATTTTATTTATTTATGTTTATGTGGTGCTGAGGATCAAACCCAGTGCCTCACATGTACTGGGCAAGCTCTCTACAACCCAAATTCCTGATTGGATTTTTTCTGAATAAATGTCTTAGGCAGATACTTATTCATTTATCCAACAAACTATTAAAACATGCAGCTGGCACTAGTAATTTGGGGGAGACTAAGGTGACCAGCACTGGACACACAGGCATTGTCCACATAACCTGGATTTGGGCCCCTAGATCAGGAAAGCCAGCTACTCACATTCTCTGTTAGTACAGTTTCAGAACCTGAAGCCAGTACTTTGGACACAGCCCCTGACTCCTCAGCAACTGCAGTGTATCCAGGTTCTGTGTAGCCGCCGATTGCAGAGGTGAGTGCCCAAGGGTGAGACCTGAGGACTCTATATGGGTAGCAGGGGTCCAGCCTCCCCTAGCCCCACCAAGTTCACGGTTAGGGAAGAAGAAAGCATCAAAGAACTAGGTAGGTATTGGGATGATGAAGTAGCAAGAGGGAGCCATGTAGTAAATAGGAAGAAGAAAGAGAGGACAGGTCTAGGCTAGGTATCCCAGGGCACTGGGTTATGGCTTTGCCTGACAGCTTTGACTACAAGTGCTATTTATTCTTCAACACAAGCATGGTCCTATTTGTCTTGGCTCTGGTGCTGACCACCTAATTTCCCCCTCTGTAGGGTACCTGTGCAGTACATCCTTGGGGAGTGGGACTTTCGGGGGCTTAGTCTGAAGATGGTGCCCCCAGTATTCATTCCTCGGCCAGAAACAGAGGTGAGTGAGTGTTCTTCCAGGACAGGATAGAATAGGGATGACTAGGGTTCATAGTATTTGTCTTGCCCAAGATGTCCTCCAGGGGGTGCTGGTGTCCCATGACAGCCATTCTCAGGGGCAGTGCTCTTCTAGACATGGGTCTCCTTGCTGGCTGTGTTGGCCAAACCAAGAAGATAGAGGACTCCTTGTTGATCCCCTTGACTCTTCACATTCCAAGCCATCACCCCAGGTCCCAGAGCTGGCTGCATCCCAGAGTGCTTCAAGAAGTGCTGTTCAAGTGCTTGCCTATTTCTGTAGGAGCTATCCTATGGGCCCATGGACCACCTAACCCATGGGAATCAAATGCCCTCTAGCAGTTTCCTAGGTGGCATGGGGGAGGTAGAGAGGGTTCTAGCTGGATGCTCATAGGAAGGTCTCTGGCCCCTCTGGGCCCAGATAATGAGAAGATTTGGCCTTCTGACCAGTGGATCTGTGGCTTAGAGGACCTCTTGGGTCCACTGTCTTGACAAGTAATCACCTATATCCATTCTTCAAATTACTCAAACTGGGAATATGTGCTACAGACAAGCTGTCCCTTGGTAAGGTACTCTGATCCTGGGAGAGATGGTTTTTGTGATCCTTCTTGGACATCTCTGTTACTTTGTGGATGGCAGAGCAAGTAGTCTGAGAGAGTAGATATAGGGTGGAGCAGGCCTGGGTGGGGCCTGGTGGGCAAGCCAGAGGATACCAAATTCTTATAAGGGTTGTTTCTATAAAAGTATCTAGCCACAAACATTCCTGGGAAAGGTCAGGATCCTTTCACTTGCCCTAGATAGAGTCCCAGAGGAAACCCTCCCGCCTCCCCACTCTCGAAGCCTCTGTCTCTCAGTCAAAGAAAGCTTTATCCCTCACCTCTACATCATATGGTTTGGAGATAGGATCCTTGCCTTACTTCCCAGTGTCAGGGCAGAGGCAGTAGGAAATCTGAGGCCTTGATGGAGTCACATGGCTTTTAAAGGAGGGGGATATGGGGGTAGTTCTAAGACTTCTTGACCCTTTACATAGGTGTATTCCATCTAGGATTGGCATGACCCAAGGTGGGTTGCAGAGTCCTGGAGCAGGATGTAGCCTATCACCTGCAGGTTTTGGCTTCCCCAAACATTTAGCTTCTGGCTAGGAGGTTACTTGCCATCCCCTGAAGCTGCCAAGGGTCAGAGAATGGGAGTGTATCTATCATGGTAACCTTTGAATCCCCTCAGAATTGACACCAGCTCTGTGTTCTGGGATTTGAGTGAAGAGTATGAACTTCTAGCTTCCATTTGGTCCCCCTTTCTTGGTTGAGTGTGGACCAGGAGCATAGCTTTACTACAAGAGGTGAGGAAGAAGGGAGATGCTGTGGTTGGAAGGCCAGGTCGTTGTCTCGTTGTAGACATTTCTGAGAATTCACCAGGTTTGCCACACTGGGGCAGGGTGCCTTACCAAGAACTCAAGAGGACGTGGCCTGTGGCAGGGCATGGGGAAAATGAGTGCAGGGGAGGGATCATGGTGTCTGTATTCTTTCCATCCATTGAAGGGTGGTTTCTGATGATGGGTGATGAAGTCTGAAAAGCAAGATTGCAAGTGCCTTATGGCCTAATGAGTTGAGTTTTCCCTGGGGGCGATAAGGTAACTGAGTTTCCCATGTGGCAATATGTACAGTAGGAAACCCAAGGCTGGGGTGTGAGCCATCTGGCCTTGTCTGATGTGGCGAGGCAGTATGGGGTGTGGGAGGCTCAGTGCTTTTTCTATGATTGGTTTTGGGGGGCAATGCCTCCTTCCTGGGGCTCTCCCACTAGAGATATGATCCTAATGGAGCGTCCTCAGGTCCTGCCAAATTCTTAGGCCATTCTTGTGAGTGCAGTGGTTCCAGGCAGAGCCAACAACAGCCTGCTTCTTGCCTCCTTTCTATATGTCTCTATCCCTCTATCTCACCATGTTCTTGAATTCTTCCCATGTTCACCTGGAGGAGATATCCTAGGGCTGTGACCAGCTCATCTTTCAGCCTCCCCCAAAGAAGGTCTATACTTTTGGGGAAGAAGAAGTTTCTAGATTTCCTGCTGGTTCCTTGGATACTTGGCTTCTCTCTGTGCCCCTCCAGATGGCCCTATAACCAAAATGAGGTTCCTATGGTCTAGAGTGGAAAGGAGAGCAACAGGCCACTAGTGGCCAGTCTGCCAGCCTTGTACCCTACCCCGTTCACATAGGTGTCTGAGGTTGTGGGTCTTACAGATAGCTGGTCAGTGTAGCTGGATGAGGGGTCATCCATTAGCCACAGTGGGCTGTCTGTGGTCAGCAAACCAAAAGAGGCTCAGGCCCCTCACAAATCTCCATCACCCTTCCAGCCTTTCAGCATGTGGCCTCACCACAGTCTCTCAACCACAGCCCTGGAGTGCACACTCTGTACCAGTTGAAACCTATGTACTCAGCTTGCTAAGAGCACTGCAGTGGTCCCTAGCCATGCCTAGCACAGGACCAGTGAATGGAAAACTTCCTGTTGGAGCTGGGCTCTCTAAGCTGAAGGCAATGACTTTTTTTTTTTTTCTGCCTACTTTAAACTTGTTATTTTTTTTTTTCTGCCTACTTTAAACTTGTTATTTTTGGAATGGATAAGTTTTGCTACTGAGGTATCTCAGTAGCAAAAATAAAAAAATAAAAAAACATCTTATCCAGGAAGGATGAGATACTTTTTGGGACTCAGCATGACCAACTTATAAGGCTAATGAGTGATCTGGAGCTTTTTGTTCCTTTGGACCTAAATGATCACATTGGAGGTTTAGGAGGACCTGGGGGTATAAGACTTGAAGCGTGGCTTCCCCAGGCCAAGGAAAGCTTATCTAGCACTTGGAAAGCAGCCAGGGGACACCACTGCAGGCCAAGCCCTGCCAGTATGGATAAGACTCCAGGTCTTCCCATCATGGAGTCTGGTGAAAGACAAACCCCATCCTTGATCCTAGACGAGGATGGGGAAAGTTAGGGTGGAAAGAACCTGGCTAGGAGCTGAGAAAGCTTTCTGGAGAAGTTGGGCTTCTCTTCTGATAAGAGAAGGACCCACATGCTTGTCCCTTCTCTCTTTCCTCCAGTTTCCTGAGCCAGTCTTGCCCAGGAGCTGAAATCACAGGAGTTTTAAGTCTCTTGTGGGGCTCTTCTGCCCACATTTAAAGGGGTACCTTTGAGTAGGAGCTACACTGTCCTTTCTTTGCTCTATGCCTGGCTATGCAGGACCCCTACTGTTGATTGGAAATGTTTCAGCCATAGGATAGCAACAGCTGTCTACCCCTTGCCCCATCCTATGTCAGCTTGCTTACACTGTCTCTTAAGGCAGCAGATGGTGAGTTGAAACCTTCTTTTTTCCTAAGTGATTATATCTTAAAGTGTCCTCCTACTGCTAAGGTGGGTACAGTAAAGTCAGTCACCTCCTCCCACACACATACCCTTTATCCCACGCTCTTTATACCACAACTCCTTTCAGATATGTCCTTACTCTACAGAGGGAATTTCCTTTTGATCTTTGTGTAGAGCCTCCCTAGGGGCCTCCCAGAAGCTGGGGATACCCCAGCCCCTGATTCTCTTTCTCTTTCTTTCCCTTTCTTTTTTACTTGCTTGCTTATACTTGAACCCAGAGCATTTTGCATGTTAGGCAAATGCTCTACCACTGAGATGCATCCCCTGCCTCTTGATCTTGATTGCTATGAGCCATAGGCCATGCTCCAGGAGAAGCCTTGATCCTTGGGCTTCAGTTTCCTTATGGGCCAGTTGTGAGGATCTAACAGATTAATACAGGGAAAGCTTTGGGAGCAGGGCCAGGCACACAGGGAGTGGCCAGGAGGCATCAGGCATGGATCTTTGCATTTCTGTGATCACAAAATGGGAGGATGTCTGTAGAGTGGTTCGCTGAGGTTTATTGTGCACTTCCTGTGTGTACAGGATCAATGTTTCATGAACATGACTTGGTTTAATCCTTACCACAGTCCCATGAAGAGGGTTATCCTCTACTGTGCTGAATTTTATAGATGAGGGAGGGTTACCCAACAGTCACACACATCCTGGCCATTACAGACCAATCCTTGCTGAGGATAGCCAAGTTGCTATTGTCTCAGTAACTGACCTGAGGCATGAAGATGCAGGGTGACCAACCCATGCCCGCATCTGACATAAAGTTCAATCTGACTTTGCTCGGTCTTCTTTCTATATTCACACAGGCACTAACTGCTTGGGTGTCTTTGCCAAGTTGGCAGGTTGGCACCAACTCTGATCCAGGCCCCTCTGCCTCACAGGAACTTGTTGAATGGGTACTAGAGGAGGTGGCCCAGAGGCCCAATGTGGTAGAAGCCCAAGGTGGTCCCCTCATTCTGGAGGTGGGCTGTGGATCAGGAGCCATCTCCCTCAGCCTACTGAGCCAACTCCCTCAGGTAAGCCCTCTCTATATCCCTTGCCTTACTCTGGTCAGACTGGGAGTGATACACACTGTCCCTCCCTTTGGTCCTTCCCACATCTCTTTGCTAGAAGCACGTGAGGGAAAGGATAGGAGGATTGTTTCCAGCCCAGCATGGTCACAGCCTCTAACTCTCATCCCCATCTGTTTGGGTAGATCCTGGCCAGAGAGGAAAAAGCTGTTAAGTATTTCCCTTCTCTTCTGGTGGGAGATGCTGGTGATTGGACCTGGCATCTCCCAACACTCTGTTTCCCATCATTTGTTCTTGGGGCAGAGCCAAGTCATTGCTGTGGATAAAGAGGAAGCTGCCATCAATCTGACCTATGAGAATGCTCAGAGGTAAGTAGACTGGGACAGCCAGAGGGTCAGCATAGGGGAGTTGGATTTTGGGGCATGAACTTGACTCTTATTCAAATATCAAACCCACTGAAGTCTGATGTCTGCTCCCAAGGAAGGAGATGCAATACGGGTGGCCTGGCATGGGTTCCACAGGGTGTGAATGGATGCTGAACACTGAATATTTGCTGGTTCATGAAAGGTTCACTATCCTTTCTGATCCTTGTAGCCAAGGGTTGAGATCTGCCACCTGTACTCACCCCACCTCCCCATCTCTTCAGGCTTCGGTTGCAGAACAGGATTCAGATCATCCCCTTTGATGTGACCTCAGGTACTCTCTCCCACCCATCTTCCTTGGAGTGGGGATCCTGAATACAGGGGATTCTGGGTGGATGAGGCACCCTGTTGGGAGAGGGTTACCCAACAGTCACATATACCCTGGCCATTATAGACCAGTCCTTGCTGAGGATATCCAAGTTGCTATTTTCTCAGTAACTGACCTGACCCATGAGAGGACCTTCTTCCTCCCCCACAACTAATGATTTGAACTAGGGTTTACTTGTTGACAAGCAATAAGTAAGATCAAACAAAAGCCTTTAGGGCCAAAATATGTAAGTGCGCTCCCCACCTCTGGCCTGGGAAGAAGTGGCCCAGCACTGTACAGCATAGCCTCAGCTTTTACATAGTGTCCTCCAGTTTCCAATTCCAATTCTTGCTCCATTGCATTACCATGGAGTCTCTGAGCCTCATGTGGAGCGTCATACACTTGGTATAGTAGCTGTTAAAGGGTGGGTCATAGAAACAGGGCCATCAGAAGTTGTTGACTCTCTAGGTACTTTCAGACCATATTGGCTGTAAGGCTGTGTGGCAAGACCAGTAGGGCTGCAGAAGACAGAGACTTTTGCTTTGCCTAGGCAGTCAGAGAGGTGGCACTTGAAATGAATCTTGTTTAATAAGGTTTTGGCAGGAATGAGAAAGAGGTAGGACATATTGAGTGAAAAGCTTCATGTCAGCATGTCCATTCCTGACTGGGCTGCTCTTGAGGGACTCTGGACCCAAATCAGCAAATCTAGCTTATCAGGTCTAGAGGAAAAATATGGCTTGGAAAGAGGCACATGGTGGCAGGTAGAGTTAATACGTTTATCTGTCAGTGGAAAGTTCATGTTGTATGTTTCCTTCTTTGACCATAGTGGGGAGCTGGACACACCTTTTGCCCTGGAGCCCCATGGACCTGATCGTCAGCAACCCTCCCTATGTCTTCCACCATGACATGGAGCAGCTGGCCCCAGAGATCCGAAGGTGCTGGGGAGTGGGTGGAATGAGAGGGCAAGCCCTGAGAAAGCCTAGTAGAATTGGTCCTCCCCGGATGACCACACCATCTATAGGGGTAAGGTGAGAGCTGAAAGAAGCAGTGGTTTTGAGAGGTACATTTACAGACCACGGGCCCACCTTGCTTCAACTTCCACCTTCCCACTTGACTCCTGGGTGCCCTTTAATTTCCCTTAGCCTCAGTTTCCTACTTATGCAGGGGTAGTGACTATGGTTTGCAGGGCCATGGGGAGGACTCAGTAACAACTCTAAAGCACTGGACACAGTGAGGGCTCATAGAAGGTTCTCAGTAGATGTCTATGTCATTTTACAGAAGAATGAGGCCCAGAGAGGGAAGATGCCTTGTCTAAGGGCCTCTGTGGGCTTAGTGGGAAGGCTGGGTCTAAAACCCTCCTTCAGGCTTTGTACCAAGCCATCCTATTTTTGCATGAGCTGAGAACCAGGGGTAGCCAAGGACCTCCCAGGTGAGTCAATGACAATAGGGGTTGGGTTGCTCGCTCCTCCTTTCTAGGCTCTCAAGGGTGGTTAAGGACAGCCCTAGACCTTCCCACTAGGAGCAGGAATAGCCCTGTGGTGAGGAGACCCGCACACCTTGGGGACTGTCTATCAGTGGAATTCAGCAAGGATGCCTCGCATTGCTTGTTGGGACTGCTGCCCACAGGAGTAGGGAAGTAAAAGCTGCCATCCCTTTGAGTACCACTTTCTCTGGGTCTTCACACTTGCCTCTCAGCCCAGAATGTAAGTGCCACTGGGCCTTTTTGTGGAGGCCCTTCCTATCTCCTTATCATTTTTCAGACACACTCCCCTACCAGGGTTTCACTTGCCACTGTTTTCCCATCTAGTTATGAAGACCCAGTGGCCCTGGATGGTGGGGAAGAAGGCATGGACATCATTACCCGTATCCTGACCCTGGCACCCCAATTCCTGAAGGACTCTGGGTACGGATGGGACAGGTGTTCTAGGTCTATCTCCAGTAGCCTCTTCCATTCCCAATGTGTGCTGGGCATGCCCTGGAAGTCATTCTTCCCCCACCTCTCTCTGCCCAGACAACCCCAAACTGAAAATCCCAGTTGAACCAATGTATTTCCCTTCCATGTAGAAGCATCTTTTTGGAAGTAGAACCGAGGCACCCAGAGCTCGTCAGCAACTGGCTTCAGAGTCATCCTGACCTGTGCCTCAATCTTGTGGCTATACGCAGGGACTTCTGTGGGAGGTAAGCTCTACCCCTCATTTCCCCAAGTGCACTATTTCCACCCTGTGTGCATCTGTTCCCTAGAGCGCAGGCAGTTACCAGTCTCTTGCCACTGTCTCCTCAGGCCCCGGTTCCTGCATGTCCAGAGGTCTGGGCCATAGTGTGTCTATCATTTGGATGCTTGGCTAGGGCCCCAGCCTGACTGAATGCCTAGCTGACCATTTCTTCTTGGAATGCTGCTAAGAGGGAGATGGATGGTGCTTTCCAGAAACCCAGGTGTTTGTAGCATTTCCCATTGTTCTGTGATTCCCCATGTTCTACGTTTCTAGAAAACTTGGAAACAAGGATGAGGATGTGCTTCCTGAACAGCTAAGGGCAGGGACATCTAATTTGGCTCAGAAGCTGGGCAGACCCTAGTTCCGAATCTAGCTCCATCAAATCAGAGTGGTCAAGGGCAGGTTGCTCTGTGTTCCTGTTAGTGGAATTGCTATGGAGATATTGGGAAGTAAAGTATTGAGACTGACAAATGGTGACCCAGTGTTTTTGTTGTGATTTATGGGGCCCTGTCCTCTTAACCCCAGATAGTGATAGGGATGAGAGCTTCCTCCTGTCCCAATAAGCCTGGCTATCAGTCACTTGCCTGGTGGGTGGGTGGGACATAGTATGAGGAAGGCATAGAGGCACACACTCTTAACTTTGGATACCATAGGGCCCTGCACTCCTCAGATGGACTTAGTCCTCCACTGCCCTGAGTGCATGCACACATACTTTTCTAACTGGGCCTAGCCTCTGAACATAGGAACCTCATCAGAACTTCAACTGAGGGTTGCCTGCTTACTCCCTGGAAAGGATGGGGCTAGAGGTCTTTGACATTCAATTCTGGGTCACACACCAACATTCATTTAACTGAAGGTTTGAGCCAGTGAAGGTGATCAGGGCTTTTGTTTATTTTTATTTCCATAGCTCTTAGCTGAATATCCTTTCCAAGTTTCTCTGGATGGGGCTGGAAGAATGAGAAGCTAAGACAGTATGTACCAAGTTATGGCCTCCACCCAGCTCCTTCCTTAAGCTAGTCTGGTAGATTCATGGCAACCAGGAGGACCAAAGACCAGCACTCCTGCCAACAGTAATATGAAACTTCTGGTTGGCAAATGTCGATTTGAAACTGTATCAGAGTGAGAACCAAGGAGACCCAGCAGGCTCATTCTGCCAGACCTCTCCCCCATGCCCTGGTACTTTCATGGGCCTGACCTGAAGTGCTTTAGCCAGAGGCAGGTGGTCTTGTGGGCAGTATCTTCTGTTGGAGTCAGTAGTGCTGAATTCTAGGACCTGGTCTTGTATTTACCAATGCAAGCTTCTTTCCTCTGTGAATCTGGCTCTTCTAAGCCCAAGGGCAATGCAAAGCAGCAGCCTCACTTTACTCTTGGTCAGCCAAGTAGAGCTTTCATGTCCACTATCCAGATGGTATTATAGGAGGTAGCCAAGTGGAAACAAGAACTTAGGTCCCAGCCTTAAGGTAGTCTATATTCCTGGAGTCATACCAGGTCTGGATAATACCCAATGCTATGGTGAGGTGAGGGGAGGGGAGTTCACCTTGTAGAGGCCATGCTGCAGGTCCCAGAGCCCTGGTGTTCTGTCCCAACCTTGAACTTTTCCACATAGCTGCTATATAAGGAAACTGGGAGGGCAGGGTAGGACTCAGCAAGCAAGGCTCCTTATTTCCTGAGCGAGCCCCCATGCCTTCCAAATTCCACTCCCCCCCTTTTTTTTTTCTCTTTCCCTTTCTTTCTACTGTCTGTGCTTTTTGGCTCTTCAGAAGCATTTCAGGGCAGCCACCATAACCTCCTAGCTGTCTGGTACACCCTTGTTCCTCCAGCTTGGGATACACCTCTACCAGTGCTAGCCCCCTTGACAGTCTCACTCTGCTGTCCTCAGGCCCATGACTAAGGAAGGGCCTTGGCAAACATGTAGGTATGGCACCCAAGAGAGTGTAATGATGGAGAATGACAGTGAAGGGGCAGCTGGGGTCATTGGAGCAGGAACCACCCTGGGGACAACTTCCTTCCTAGAAAAATATGGGGCTTGACTCCACTGGGAAAAAGGTCTAAGCCAAGTGAATTGGCAAAGCAGTGCCTTAAGCCTGTACCCACGGACTTGATTGGGTCCTGGATGTGGAGCTGTGATGTGGAAGATCTATCATCCTGGATTCACATTCTGCAGTCTACCCATCACCAGGATGAGACCTTGGGCAGATGACTTCACCTTTTTAGCCTTGGCTTCCAGGCCCAGCAATATGGGACCAGAGTGCTTTATTTTATAGGATGTTTGTGAGAGGGCCCATGAGTTGCATTTTTCTTGCAGGTGTTTTGATCGTCTGCAAACAAGAGAACAGACCGGAATGCCCTCCTGCATCACATGCTCAACACTGATGTAAGGCAGGCATAGACAGTAATAGGAAACTTCTGGTTGGCAAATGTCGATTTGAAACTGTATCAGAGTGGTTACCAAGACAGTCTGGAAAGGAGGGACATCAGGGATTTCAGTCCTGTATTCATAACTTCTCTCTGCCCTCTGGAGATGGAGCCACTGAGAGGCTGGCAGCCTACATCTCCCTTTAGCCCCTCCTCACCAGGGCCAGAGTGTCCTAAGGCCTAGGCCAGGGCAGCTAGTGGCTTCACTTAGGGCAAACCAGGCTCACCAACCCTGTCCTCCATCCCCACCCACCCCACCCTTAGTCCTGAAGCTAGATCCAGAGACTTGAGCCATGTTTTCTGGTACATGTCAAAGAAGACCTTGAGGCCAGAACATGTGGAGCGGATGGTACAGTCCAGGCTCTGCAAGCTCCTGAGGTCTTGAGGAATGTCCCTATTGCTCACCCAGCCTCCTTAAACATGAGCCCAGAACCTGGGTAGCAGGTATAGGAGTCCTTCCTTCTTCAAGGTACTCTGAGAAAGAATTCTACTTGTTCCTCTGACAACTGCAGTCTTGTCTCACAGTTTGGTGCTTTCCTAAGCTATCCTTGGTTTTCTTCATGGAGCTTATTGAAATGTGCTGCTTTATTGAAATGTGCCACCAAACTCCTAACTGCAAGAAATATATCCTTTCCTATTCCCTGACTCCCATTTGAACCCTGGTCCATCACTTGCTCCCAATTTCTGTCCTAAACCCTTGGCTGACTCCCTATGACCTAGGTAGGGATGGTGTCTGTGTCTTGCAGAATCCAGGTCTGAAGAGGTCAGGGAGGATGGCTGTGGGAAAGGCCCTGGGAATCCCTTCCTGGCCCCATCAGTGCTGAGTAAGTGAACAAAGGGTTTGACTCTTGACGGGTTTGACTCTTGAGCAGTTCTCAAACCTGTCAACCTGGGAACCCATTTAACTTCTACAGACCTGCATGCCTTTTTCTTTTCCCATCTGCCTTTAGATTCTTTTTTCTGCTGCCTGGACTTCGGCCTTCTTGTATTACCCTCCACCCTCTAAACACACCTTCCCTTTGTCCTGTCAGTGCTTCCATCAGAGTGCTGTTGTTCACCACTGCCAGTTTAAGTCTCACCCTCCAAGCTCCAACACAAATGCTGCCTCCTTTGGGACACCTGCCCTGACCTCTGTGTTCTCCCCACCTGCCCCTAACCTATATCTTTGCTGGTGCCAATGACATTCTGTCCCATACATTTGGAAACCTGCCTGTCTTGCTTATCTCCCTGGGATCCCCTGTGAGTCTGGCATACTCAAGTTCATTAAATGTCCACAGTGCCTACATTTTCTATGGTAGGGCTGGAACTTCTCATTTGGCCCACATCTGACCTGATGGCAACTCTCATGTATTTCAGTCAGCAGAGAGGAAGCTGTGAGGGCCTGGCTTCCTGCCTGAGTCAGGCAGCTGTTCAGGTTGAGCCATGGCTGCTTTGAGGGCTCAAGTGCTCCTGATCCATGCATGACAGTCACACCGGGAGAACAGGCTGTCCTTGGCGGCAGCAGGGTCAGGCACCAAGTTTCCTGGAGGGTGGTAGCTAGGACAGTGGCCTGATCCTCCTTTAAGACTCTTCTGCCAAGGATAAGAGTCCTATACTCTACTGAGACTGGCAAAGCAACCCTGTCCTCCTCTCAGAATAATAGCCTCCAAAGGTGCCCATGTCCTAATCTTCCAAAGCTGGAACTGTTACTTTATGTGGCAAAAGGAACTTTGCAGGTATAATTAAGGATGGAAATATTGTCCTGGATTGTAATTAAACTCAGTTTAATCATAAGGGTCTTCTTTATATGAAGGAGGCAGGAATATTTACTGGAGAAGTTGTGACAATGAAAGTAGAGGTCAAAGTGATGCAATTGCTAGAGGAAGGGGCCATGAGCCAAGGAATGCAGACAGCCTGACATCCCCTAGAGCCCCAGGAAAAAATGCAGTCCTGTGATACCTTGATTTTAAGCCCAGTGAAACTGAATTTGGACTTTTAACCTCTAGAAATGTAAGGTGATAATTATGGAGGTTTTTTTCTTTTGTTGTTGTTGCTGTTGTTTTCTTTTGTTTGTTTTTGTAGTATTGGAGACTGAATTCAGAGTTATTCTACCACTGAACTACATCCTCAACCCTTTTCAAAAATTATTTTAGGGGTGGGTTGTGGCTCAGTGGTAGAGTGGAGTGCTCGCCTAGCATGTGTGAGGCCCTGGGTTCGATCCTCAGCACCACATAAAAGTAAAATGAAGATGGGGGCTGGGGATGTGGCTCAAGCGGTAGCGCACTCGCCTGGCATGCGTGCGGCCCGAGTTCGATCCTCAGCACCACATGCAAACAAAGATGTTGTGTCCGCTGAAAACTAAAAAATAAATATTAAAAAAATTCATTCTCTCTCTCTCTCTCTCTCTCTAAAAAATAAAAATAAATAAAATGAAGATATTGTTATTTTAAAAATAAATAAATAAATAGTTTTAAAAAATTATTTTAAATTTTGAAACAGGTCTCACTTGGTTGCCCAGGCTGGCCTTAAACTTGTGATCCTCCTACCTCAGCTTCTCAAGTAGTTGGGTTT